GTGGTCATCAGGCTGTAGAAGACTCTGGGGTGACAGTGACCACTCAACACTTCTCCAAGTGCCTTACAAAGGAACCCCCTACTGGGAACATGGGAGAGACTTAACACTGATCCGTTAACAGGTGGCAGAACTGAGGCACACTCGGGTCAAGTGCCTTTCAAGCAGCTTTCAACAGGTCGGCTTGGAAGAGCACAGAGTCAGATGAACGTAAACAGAATCTCCTTTTCTCTAAAGGCTCCTGTGCAGTCCTGGGGACTCAGCTTCCCTGTTCTCCCTGGGCCCTTCTATCCCTTGGGGTATCTGAAGCATCCGTCACCCAAGGTTGTCTTAAAACTGTTAGCATTTGAATTTATTTGTTGTCAACGGTAGACTTCCCTGACCTATCTTTGTCCTTTTCTTGCACCTCTCTTTTGCTCTACCTAAGAATTTATACAGATTATTTATAGATACTAGTATGAACGTAAAACAGAAACCACAGAGCCTGTAGTTACTGCGTAAAATATGCCTCTGTGAACTTTGACTATGCTGAGTTTCAAGACCAGCCCTGGGGAGGGGAGTTTTCTGATTATCCTTGTGACTTAAGGGGGCAATTTAAATTCTCAGCCTCACTTCTTTATCAAGAACAGGAATTTTTTAACTTAGGGGTTGCATGCCCTACCCTTTGAAATTCTATACAAATATTGTGTGTGCGTGTGTGCGCGTGTGTGTGTGTGTGTGTGTGTTTGTGAATGTGCATTTTCTGTAAAGGGGTTGCCCTTTTCCCTCCTCTTGGTAACATTTATACTTAATATGTTCCCTGCAAAAGGCTATTTGGGACAGGTAATGCTTTCACAAGATAAGACTCAAACAAATATAACATCATATATAACTTATCAGGTATAACTTATCATGTTGTAGTAAGAATCTTTAAACCAATCAACTTCCACAGTGGTCCAATGTCCAAGTGAAAAATCCCAGCTTAAGGCCCAGCAGTTTTGTGTGTCTGCCTTGCTGGAAGACTGTGGTAACCCTGCAGCACCGGCATGTCAGCACGTTTTTCTCTTTATGTCATAAAGATTTCTGTTTCCTTTTGCTCTTTGATATCATTTGTTCAGGGTCTGTGACAGATGACTTTTATCCATTAGATGGAATCCTCCTGTTTGTGGGTGATGAAGCCGAGCCTCCGAGTTCCATGCTCAAGGTCACAGCGGCAGGGAGAGCTAGAACCAGGATTTGAATCACTGATTATCTGACTCTAGTGTCCACCCCCCACCCCCGAAGCCATGCGCCTCTCATACTGTATTCCCTGCTACCACGCATGCCTCCTTTTGAACTGGAGTGACTCCTGGCCAAGGGTCAAAGGTAAGATTCCATGTGCAAGAATGTTGCTGAAAATAGGAAGTTAGTGGAGGACAAGATTCTAAGATGTGATTGGTTCTTTGGCTGGCTGAAGTCTCAGCAAACCTGTGTTGATACATCCAACCTCAAGCCACTGGATTCATCCTCATTGGGCACTTGGCACATTTTAAATAGCAATGTTATTTAACCTTGGTTCGTTTGGGAAACAAAACAGTAATTAAACTCATAATGCATCTACTGCTTGTCTCAACGAACTTCTTCCTATTTTAACATCCCTAAAATTAGGACAATGGCCAGGCGTTAAATAAAACAGGAAGTTGAGAACACAGGTGTGCATATAGAAATAGTCTAATTTGCTAATTGTTGTTGGTCTCACTCATCTAATTTGTGGTTTAGTAATTTCCATACCATTTTATTTGTACCAGCTCTTAAGGGTTATACCAATACCCAAACACATTTTTGTTCAGTTTATCTCTAATTATGATTGTTTAGGAAGAGGGCTGCAAAATTTTCAGCTTTGTAGTACCTGCAGTGTGTATCACAACCTTTCAACTCTTCTGAGGTTAAGAAGCCATAGATGGTACATAGACACATGAGCAGGCTGTGTCCAGTGACACTTTACCAAAACAGGCAGGTGGCCAGATTTTGCCTATGGGCCATAGTGTGCTGACCCCTGTTTTGGGGATAGACACAATTCTCGGAACATTAAAAAAAAATGAGGGAAAATGAATAATCAGGGCAAATGGAGAAGTGCTCATTAGAGAAGGAATATATGTCTGTGTGTGAGCACGCATGTGTGTGTTAATCTTTCTCATGTGGACACTTAATTCACAGCTTATACATGACATATTATTTAACATGCACGTATGCCATATCGTAGAGGCTGTTCTATGTGGTATATTGGAAGAGCACTGAATTGGAAGCCAGGAAACCAGGCTCTAGATGAAGTTCTGCCATTCACTGGCAATGTTACATTCAGCTAGTTATCCTCTCTGAGCCAAAAAAAAGATAGTGGGATTTAAGGATCTCCAAAGATCTTTCTACTCTATCCTCCTCTGATGCTATGATTTTCTTAAGACTTCTAGGGAGAAATACAAAGTTAAAAAATATGGTTTAAAATTATATGAAAAATTATATAAAAACCTGGCCTGGAACTTACTAATTCAACCAACGTAACTAACCAAGCCACCACAGCCAATGAGTCAAAGGACTCTATGCAAAAGACGTTGCTTAGAGGCATGGAGACACAAGAATGCCGCAGGTGCCCACCTGCAAGGCTATGGGTGAGGATTCTGGTCCAGAAACACTGGTGGAATGAGGACTCTCCTTTGGGTACACAATATGATGGATGAAGCTTCCTTGTGACTTCAGAGGACAATCATGTGGACCTTTTATAAGAAGAACTTGAACTGAGGAGCAGGGGACTAGGGAGTCCCTCCCACCACTGAATAGTGTGGCCCATTTTCAAAGCCACTTGGAACCAAAGATGGTCACTCCCTTCTCGAAGAGTGGGTGTTCAAGATAGTTGTTGATCTTTGGATGTTGGACACTGAGGAGGATCTAAGAGGCCCTGTGGCTTGGAAATCATGTTCCACAGAGACCCCTGTAGAAAGAACTGGTGTATGTGTGTGTGTGTGCGTGCACGCGCGTGTTGGGGTAATTTGTGCTCCACACCTGCTTCAACCAGAACTCCCTACCACTGGCTTTTATTTGCTGGTGTTAAAAGTTGGTCCAACCACTTCATTATAAATGGGAAAATGGAGCCTGAGAAGGGGACGTAAGTGAGTGTGGCTGTTGCACAGAGCGAGGGAAGATTCTACTGGGCATAAGAAGTTCATACTGATCTTCTGGGGAGGATGGGTGCCTGGGGGTGGCAGGCACACAAAGAAGTGAGTACTCGGTCTCAGTTCCTCCCAGTGACTCTCTGGGCCTCTCAGCCATGAGGGAAACGTTCTCATAGCACTCCTCAGCCAAGTTCCCTGTTGGCCTTCTCCCAGCGACACTGTGGTTGATGGAGGCGTAGCACAGGTCCTCCGAGGAGCTCCGGTAAGCATTCTCCTGTGGGTCAAAGGAGAGCCATCACCAAGACTTGGCCTCTTCTCATTCCTTTTATACTCCAGTCTCAGCACAGCTCAGCCTTGGGCAAAGTCTCCATTCCACGGCCACTTCCCCTCCATCTTTTGGCTATTTTTTCTAAATGACTGCCCCCACCCCAACCACTAGCCCAAGCAACCAGAGTCCTCATGCTGCTCAGAGAATTCAGCCCACTCAGGCATGTCCTCTCTGCCCCGGGCTCCAGAGTGACCCCTGACCACCCCATATAATTCCCAAAGTCCCCAAAGTCCCCAAAGACCCTGAGGCAGCTCATTCTTTCATAAGAGAACAATCTGAGGACACCTTATAGTGCTTGGGTTATGATATTTAACCACCTATTCCAGAGATGTTTGCATGAGTGAAAAGGGAAACCAGTCAGGGGAAGGTGTCATTTGGTGAAATCTCAGGAGATAAAAAGCCAAACAGCAAAGCGCAGGGGAAAGAGCACAGATTTGGGAGTGAGGCTCATTTCTGAACCGTGCCCTTGCCGTCTTGTCAGCTGTCTGGCTTTGAAAGACTATCACTTAATCTCTTAGTTTTTTCATCTGTAAAATGGGTGGGAAAATAACAGTCCCCGTCTCACAGGGTTGTTGTGACAGTTACATGAGATGATTCAGGCCAAGCGCTCAGCCCACCGCCTGGCATAAACTAAATGCTCGATAAGTATTCATTCCTTTCAATAAACTGTGCAACAGAGGTGGCTACTTCTTCTGCCTCCAGGCCCTGCACATGTCCCTGAGCTCACAAGCACTGGCATCTAAAGTGGTTCACATTAAAGTCACAGACGTCCTGGAAGCCTTCCCCTGCCGTCTGAGGTGCCTGCGTTTCTACTGTCATCTCAGAAAAAGGAAAAGGCTCAGAGGTGTCTGCATTACCTGAGTGAGAGCAGATGATGTCTCTTCATCTGGAGAAAGAAAATACACTTAATGAATTTCAGGTCCTAGGGAGATTTCAGGGAGGGGGGAGGTGGGGCAAGGAAATATAAGCAGAGAGCCAAGGAACAGCGGGGGTAGCTCTTATCAGGCTATCTTGATCTACAACACATCGCTGGGGAGTGACAAGCTATCTGAACAAGAAACATCTAGCGCTGAGCTGGGTGGAGGGAAACACATTCATGGATCTTTGGACAGGAAATCACACTTCCCTCCCTTCCTCACTCCTTCCCCCCCTGTCCTTCATGACCCCAAATGTATTGCATACCTCCTCTGTACCAAGCCCTGGGGAGACAAAGAAGAATCAGAAAAAGTCCCTGTCCTCAAGGGCTCACAGGTTAGCAGACAAGGACCTAAGAGAGATCCACAATGCAGAGGACAGCTGCTATTTCTAGTAGGCGACAAGGGATGATGGCAGTGTGGAACCTGGTGTGCAACGAAAGCTTTACAGAGGAGGAAACTCTTTAATTGAACGTTCCCATTTTTGAAACTGCTGGCAGACACAAGCATAAGCAGGCCAATTTACTTAAAACCAGCTGGCCCTGGCCACTCAACAAAGAGGCAAGGGCACAAGCTCAAAAAGCAAGCCTGAGCTTCCATGTGGAAGCTTCATGGCACTACCCGACGCGGGAGGCAGATGTGCCACCTTACCACATGTCGATTCGCTCAACACTGGCATTCCAGATTCTCCTATCTGCATAAATTCCTGTGGCTATCTAGGACTTCCACTATTATCACTACAGGAGAAGGGCCTGTGGGGGTCCAAGATGGTGGCATAGGAAAACCCTAACCTCAGCACTTCCCATGGACACATTGAATCTATACCTACATACAGAGCAACTTCTTCTGAAGAAGAACTGAAGGCTGATTGAACAGTTTCTGCACAATAAATGCCAGAAGGACTACACAGAGGTGGGTCGGGGAGATGGAGACGTGGTATCGATGGGAACCCTATTCCTGATGCAGTGACCTGCAAAAGGGAGGGAGACCACTGGGACGCCCATGCACAGACTTATCCTCCCTGGGGCACAGTAATAAAAACAGCAGTTTAAAGTGCATCTAGACAGTACGTGAAGGAAATCCATTTACTAACCCGGGAACATCTGCCAAATGGGCGGGGAACAGTTGGAACACTCCTCAGGGTCAAAGGCACAGGAAAGCACCATTTTTTGCATTCCCCCTCCACCTTGGTAGCACAGGTTGGAACGCAGACCAGGTGCTGCAGCCAGCCTGCCAACGTTGCCCTTATGTGCCCCACGTCCATAGAAGCTCCAGCTGTCCCCTGAAGGCAACACCAGAAAGGTGCACCCTGGGACCCCGCTGCTTCCCCCACAAGTCTACCTCAGCTGCAGCCATCCCACCAAAGCTGCGTAACACATACAATCTACTCAGAGGACATACTTACATAAGGCCATGACTTCCAGACCGAGAGAGGTAGCTGTTTTGCCTAATTCATAGAAACAAATACAGAAAGTCAAACAAAATGAGGAGACAGAGCAATGTTCCAAAAGCTTTCAAGATAACCCCCCACCAGATAAAAATCCTAATAAAATAGAGGTAAGAAATTTATCTGATAGAGTTCAAAATAATAATCATAAACATGCTGACCTAACTTGGGAGAAGACTAAAGGAACACAGTGAAAACCTCAACAAACTTGGAAAATGTAAGAAAGAATCAATCAGAGCTAAAGAATGCTATAACTGAAGTAAAAAATACACCAGAGGGAATCAACAGCAGATTAGATGACAGAGGAAAAGATCAGTGATCTGGAAGACCGGAGAGCAGAAATCACCCAATCAGAACAGCAAAAAGAAAAAAGTATTTTTAAAATGAGAACTGTTCAAGGGACCTCTGACAAAAAAAATCAAGAGTACTGTCATTCACATTATAGGAGTCCCAGAAGGACAAGAGTGAAGGGAAGGGGTAGAAAATGTATTTAAAAAAAAAAGCTGAAAACTTCCCTAATCTTGAGAAGGAAATAGACATCCAGGTCCAGGAAGCTCAAATAATCCCTAAAAAGATGGACCCAAAGAGATCCATACCAAGACATTATAATTAAAATGGCAAAAATTAAAGAGAGAATTTCAAAGGCAGCAAGAGAAAAGCAGCCAGTCACATACCAGGGAGCCCCTAGAAGACTGTCAGATGACTTTTCAACAGAAACTTAGCAGGCCAGAGGGGAATGGCATGAATAAAAGCACCGAAAGGAAAAATCTTACAACCAAGAATACTCTACCCAGCAAGATTATTATTCAGAACCAAAGGAGAGACAAAATTTCTCAGACAAGCAAAAACTAAAGGAGTTATCACCACTAAACTGGCACTACAAGAAAGGTTTAAGGGTCTCCTTTAAGCAGAAAAGAAAAGAGCACAACTAGAAATAAGAAAATATATGAAAGAAAAAAAACTCACTGGTAAAGGCAAATATATATTAAAGCCAGTGAATCAGCCACTTAAATAACTAATATGAAAGTTAAGAAACAAAAGTAGTAAAATCAACTATAATTACAGTAAGTATTTAAGGGATACACAGAGTAAAAATGTAAAATATGATGTCAAAAGTGTAGATGTGGTAGGAGGTAAAAATGTCGTGCTTTTAGAATGCATTCAAACATCAGCAACTATCAGCTTAAAACAAACTGAGATACACATGTATCTCATGGTAACCATCAACCAAAGTCCCACAGCAGAGACTCGGAAAAGAAATAGAAAGGAATCCAACATCACACTAAAGAAAATAATCAAACCACAAGGAAAGAAACAAGGGAAGAAGAAACAGAGAAGAACTATAAAAACAATCAGAAAACAATGAACAAAATGGCAGTCAGCATACCTATCAATAATCACTTTAGTTGTAAATGGACTAAACGCTCCAATCAAAAGACACAGGGTGGCTGAATGGATAACAACAAAAAAAGAAAAAGACCCATCTATATGCTGCCTATAAGGGACTCACTTTAGATCTAAAGACAGACACAGACTGAAAGTGAAGGTATGGAACAAAAATCCTCAACAAAATGTTAGCAAACCAAATTCAATAATACATTAAAAAGATCACACGCCATGGTTAAGTGGTATTTATTCCATTAATTCAATATCCACAAATCAATCAGTGTGATACATAACATTAACAAAATGAAGGCTAAAAAATCGTATGATCAACTCCATAGATGCAGACAAAGCATTTGGCAAAATTTAACATCCATTCAGGATAAAAACTCTCAACATACTGGGTATAGAGGAAACGTACCTCAACATAATAAAGGGCCATACACATCAAGCCACAGCTAACTCCTACTCAGTGACAAAAAGCTGACCTCTTTTCCTTTAAGATCAGAGCAAGACAAGGATGCCCACCCTCACCACTTTCATTCAGCCGCATACTGCAAGTCCTAGCCCAGCAACCAAACATGAAAAAGAGATAGAAGTCATGCAAATCAGAAGAGAAAAAGTAAAATTATCACTCTCTGCAAATGACATAATACTATGTACATATATGTAACTCTAAAGACCACCAAAAAACTCTTGGAATTAATAAATGAATTCCATAAAGTTTCAGGATACAAAATTAATATACAGAAATCTGTCACATTTCTGTATATTAACAACAAACTATCAAAAAAGAGATATTAAGAAAACAATTGTATCAAGAAGAATATAATACCTAGGAATAAATCTCACCCAGGAGGTAAAAGACTTGTCCTCTGAAAACTGTAAGACATAGATGAAAGAAATTGAGGACAACACACATACACAAAATGGAAAGATACACTATGCCCATGGCTTGGAAGAATTAATATTATTAAAAATGTCCATGCCATGGCTTGGAAGAATTAATATTATTAAAATGTCCATTGCAGATTCAGTGCAATTCTTATCAAAACACCAATGGCATTTTTCACAGAGCTAGAATAAATGATCTTAATGCTTGTATAAAACCACAAAAGATGCAGAGTAGCCAAGGCAATCTTGAGAAGGAAAAACAAAGCTGGAGGTATCACACTCTGTGATTTCAAACGCTATTACTATAATAGCACTATGGTACTGCTACTAAGTGACTACTGTACTGGCCCTTATCAAAAAGACAACAAATAACAAATGTGGAGAAAGGATACCCTCTTACACTATTGGTGGGATTGTCAATTGGTGCAGCCACTATGGAAAACAGTATGGAGGTTCCTCAAAAAATTTAGAATATAACTACCATATGATCCAGGGATTCCACTCTTGGGTATTTATCTGAAGAAAACAAAGACTCTAATTTGAAAAGATACATGAACCCCAGTGTTCACTGCAGCATTACTTACAATAGTCAAGATAGGGAAGTAACCTAAGTGTTCCTTGGCAGATGAATGGATAAAGAAGATGTGGAATATGTATATACAAAGAAATATTATTCAGCCAGAAAAAGAATAAAATCTTGCTATTTGTAATATGGATGGACCTAGAGGGTATTATGCTAAGTGAAATAAATCAGAGAGAGAAAGAGAAATACCATATGATTTCACTTACATGTGGAATCTAAAAAACAAAACTCTTAGAAACAATGAATGTTACATAAATGTAGATTAAAAGATCAATGTGCAGTTAAAAAAAAAAGAAATGAGCTATCAAGCCATGAAAGACATGGAAGAAACTTAACAGACATATTACTAAATGAAAGAAGCCAGTCTGAAAAGGTTACCAACTGTACAATTCCAACCAAATGACATTCTGGAAAAGGCACAGCTACAGAAACAATAAAAAGATCGTGGTTTCCAGGCGTTTGGGGAGAGAGAGAGAGAGAGAGAGAGGAATGAATAGATGGAGCACAAGGGACTTTTAGGGCAATGAAATTATTCTGTATGATACTACAGTGGTGGCTGTATGTCATTATGCATTTGTCAAAACCCATAGAATGTACAACATCAAGAGTGAACCCTAATGTAAACTGTGGACTTTGGTTGATAACAATGTGTCCACATTGGCTCATCGATTGTACCAAATACGCCACACTGATGAGGGATGTTGAGGGTAGGGCAGTATATATGTGTGGGGAGGGCTATGTGTGAACTCTGTATTTTCTGCTCTATTCTCTGTGAATCTGAAACTGCTCTAAAAAGATAAAGTCAGTTTAAAAAAAACCCAGAAATCTTAAAGGACAAAAAAAGTGCACAAACAATAACAAAACATAAGCAGACCCATACAGAGAACAACCTGGTGGTTATCAGAGGGGAGGAGGTGGAGGGATCAGTAAATAGGTGAAGCAGATTAAGAGGTACAAACTTCCAGTTATAAAATAAGCAAGTCACAGGGACGAAATGCACAGAACAGGGAATACAGTGACTAGTATAGTAATGACTGTGTGGTGACAGCTGGTAACTAGACTTACCGTGGTGATCACTGTGAAACGTATAAAATATCAAATCACTCTAACATAACATTGCAAGTCAATAACACCAATAAAATTTCAAAAAAGAAAAGGCTCTGTGAGCTTCTGCACTAGGGGCCTTATTTCCACCACGTTTTGCTCTGGAGGAGACCGGGGATTCCTGGCACCCACAACTCCCCTGGGTGAAATGACTACGGGTGGGAGGGCTGTATTATTTATTTATACGCCTACATGGCTGGTTTTTAAGATTCAGGGTTCATGAGCAAGGCTCTCCTCTTTAAACCTAAGAAGGCACAGGCAAAACTCAGTTGTTTTTCTTCTTTAGAAATGCAGCGGCCTGTCCGCAGGCCTGTACTTTTCTTTGTTTCCTCTCTTACCTACGGCTCTATTCACCACCCTCTCCCTTGAATTCCCTTTCCTTAACTTCACCCCTGTTCCATCACCAGAGACCACGGCATCGGCCTCCTAAGTGGCCTTCCAGCCCCTGCTCTTGCCACTCCCTACTACAATTCGTTCTCCACACAGCAAAAAGGTGATGTCTTTAATGCAAATGTGAGCGTACTTGGACCTTGTTTAAAGCCCTTCAGTACCTCCTGTGGCTCTCAAGACAAAAACCTCAACCTCAGACTTGACCTTAAGGCTCTGCCCCTCCTCTGTACATCCTGTGTCCACGCTGGCCTCCTCACCGTTTCTTATAGGTGCCTCACACCCCCACCTTTTGCTTTCATTGTCTCATTTAACTCCTTCCACCTCAGGGACTAGCAGAAGGATACAAAGATCACCAAGCCAGTTCCTCCCACACTGAGCTCCCAATCTAGTGGCCAAAGACACATGCAATCAGGCAAACTGCAGCAAAATGTGTTGAGTATCATCCTAGACAAAATATGCCCAAGGACCTTTGTGAGCACAGGGAAGGGGCAGCTCGGAAATAAAAGTGTCAAAAGTAAAAATGATGTGAAAGCAGTAACTTACTTTGCTTTGGGGAATCTTGTCTTGCTTTAAAAATGCGCATTTTTTTCCTGTAAAAGAAAAGGAAAGGAAATTGGTTGCTCCAATATTCAGAAACTCTCAAAGGACATTACACTCAACTGTACGAACTTATTTTTACCTACTTGTTAAAGTTTTAGGCCTTTTGTGATACCCCTTAGAGCACAGAAAAGAAGATTAAAAAGGAAAAAATGAAAGACAAGGTCAAATAGAAATCTACTCCTTTGTGATTCTCTCCCTCTTTCTCTTTCCTTCTCCTTTTTCTGAGGCTGATATGGAATTGATTTATAGATGGAGAACTATCGTGATGTTATGGGTAACTTTTTTGGATTTTTTTTTCTGATAAAAATATCAATTTATTTTATAGCAATGAGTTAAAGAGGTATTGTTATATCCAATCCCAATCCCAACCCCAATCTATGATACCCAAGCAAGCACCCCACCCCCCATGTGAGCACAGAGGTAACTACACGATAGAGATGACCCCCGGAAAAAAACACAGTATAAATATGAGGGAAACCTGTTGTCATTTCAGGAGACAAGGACGATATCTGCTCTAAGGAGAATGACCATGTGTCCTGGTTGGCACAGACAGTCTAGTTAATGTCGTTATCAATCACTTGGTGACCCTTAATTATTTTTAGCCTCCTTTTCGCTCGCAAACGTTTCCTAGTTTGGACAATGAATTACATAATCATCCTAGCTATACGTTCTCTGCACAAGGGACAGAAATGGGTGCTTCCTAAAGGCAGACTCTGAGATCTGCAAGTGATTAGTGGTCTTTCTCTCCATGGGTAGCCAGTTTCATCCTTGCTTCTGAGGCTTTCTCGTTTGAAGAATGAGTACCACACATGAGACTACTGTTTCTGCTTCTTACCAACTTGAAGCATCGCTTCCCTGATTGACTCTCAGACAATGATGTCTGGATTAGTGACAGGCTTCTACTGTCACAGGCAGTACTGTGGTCACAGACAGAGGGGAGTTCACAGGTAACTTTTATTAACTTATATTAACACGCACTTGGGGAAAGAACTCTGGAAGACAGTTCTCCACTCACCATGGAAGGCAGAAACACCCTTCAGCGAAGTGGCAGTCCCAGCGTCTAAAATACCCAAGAGGTGACAAATCACAAGTTTAGTTTCTGCAGCTTGGTTAGGGTGACTCCCTTCCCTTTCCCATTTCTGTGAAAAAAGCTTTTTCCCCCAGGAGAAAATCCGTTCTAGGCGACTTGGACGCGTCTATCATACTAGAATGCCTTTGTCCTCCCAGGACATTAACTGGCCGTTTGGAAAGACGAAGATGACATTATCAACTCTCAATCAGAGAAGGAACTTTCTGCTGTATTCCTACCAAAAGAAAGAGGCTTGTTCACCCCCAACTCCAGTTATTTATGTAGCCTCTTGAGATGAAGGGCACGTAAGAATTATCTCCAGGAAATCAAGGTACGTTTGTTTTAGAAGTTTCTTCCAGGCACTAGGTAGGCAATATTTACATGATTCCACTGCATCTGAATTTCTCCTATTTACACTATCATGTCTGCTCACTTGTCTATATCCTACACTAGAATGTGGGCTTCACAAGGTCGGGGAACCATATTTATCTGTTCATCATGGTATATATCGCTAGCCTGTGCCATTTTCCAGTAAGTATTTGATAAATGAAGGAGTAGCCCTGAACAGAGCAACTCTAACCGGCTCAGATCATCAAATCCACCTTCTTGACCCCAAGGTACAGCCATATAAAAAAGGATTTAATGGCAGAAAGGGTCAGGACCTCTCTGCAGCCAGACACCTAGGCTGAGGTCTAAGTATCATTGTGGGCATCTTTCTGAATTGATGCAGAGTTAACTACCTACACGGTTGAACAGGAAAGCCTTTTATAAAGTACTGCATGTACCAGTAACACAATATACAAATGCTTGGAAAACACCATCCAGAAATATCTCCCCCAGTGAGCTGTTTCAAGAAGTTCTCTTGGAGAGGACAATGGAGAAGAGGCTGGGGCATGTGACCCTGGCTGTGGGCGTCAACATGGCTGAGTGCCCGGACAGCCTCTGGGGTCCGTGTGCCACTGGAGACTTTGGGGCTGAGAGGCATGGCTGGCTCTCTCTTCTTCAGACTATATTCTGATTTCTTTAACCCATTTGCTTACACTTCCTATTTCTGTAGCTAAAAAAACACCAGGAGGACACTATTAAATCACAACAATGCTAAGAAATTAGGTTCTCTGAGCAGATATGGGCGTGAGATAAAAGATGATTTTGAGTTACTGGATTGATACCTCTGGACTCCCTGAGCCACAGTTTATGTACGAAATGAAGATTCCTATGCTGCTTACCTCATGGAGTTGTAAAGGTCGAACAAAGTTAAACATGGGCAAAAGCTATTTTTAAACTGGTTATTTCCTCCACTCCACCTTTCTGCAATATATTCTTGCATTTCAATTTGGATGTTTTGGTCTAGGGTATGTTCAGACAACCTCCATAAAGGAGGTCAGGTGATTCTCTATGACAGCGGACTATGTTACCAGCAATTCCAGGTTCCTGTCTCTTACACAGAGCTTCCCTGGCCCCTCAGTCTCCCCAGTCTTTCTTTTGTTATAATGCCCTCCCAGTCTGTTTCATCATTTGGACTGTGTACTTTAACATACATCCAATATCCCTCAAATGCATGATCCTTAGTTTGCACAGAAGAAAAGCATTCTGCTGGGAGGGATCTCCGGGTTCCCAGCTCTTAACACTGGCTTTAGCTCTGTGGTCACTTTTTAATTGATGCTCTTTCAAGAACTTCTCCTGAAACCATGAGGAAGTGCACACAACACTTCAAGCTACAGAACAACTGACTTTGCCAGTCTTTGGTATTCTTGGATTCAGGGGCACTTGTTCCATATTGTAGTGATTTCCTGGACTCAAAAAGCCTGGTCAGAAAGGATTGATGGGGCAGGTTTTGTTGGATAGCATCAGGGTATTCACAAGCGCCTCTCTCCACAAACCTTTTAGCAGTTGTAGCCATGTAGGGGATGTGGTTACCTCAGAAATAGAAACTTAGAGCTCAGTGTGAAATGGCCAGGATGGAGCTGGAGCACAGAGGCACTTGAGACAAACAAGCAGAAAGCAGATCCTTATTTACAGTTGCCAGGGGTTGCACCAGGTTCCTAGCAAAATGGCACATCTCCTGCCCAAAGGTTCAAAGTGTTTTACTCTTTTGTCTTATCTTCACATTTACTATCATTACGACCTCTGCTAGGTCTGGTCTGAGCAGGGTCCTCTCTTGCAGGGTGTGCGATTCCAGGACCCGACAGACTTCACTCCTCACGGGCAAAGGCTGAGGGAAGTTTTGTTGGATTTGCGCTCACCTGGATGTTCTCTGCTGGTGGCTTTGATTCCTCGGATTCCAGGGTAGCTCTTGAGCGTTCTGGTGCCACCTAAAACTCCACACACAGGGAACCAGCCAAGTCTTTCCTTTTCCACCTCTCGTTGTAAGTTTCCCAACTGCCCTCATTTCTGCTGCTCATGCGGAACCCCAAAACTGCCTCGGCTTCTCCTTCTTGCTCTCCCACCTGTTAACATGCCCTCAATCTATCCTCAGTCTGTCCTTGATTTGACCTTCTCTCCATTTCCATAGCAACAGCCCCTCAACGTTCTCCAGCAACCACCATCTACAATCAGTTGTAAACCGTTTGTTCCCAAATGTCCAGGAATCCTCGCTGATGACCCTGAGAACATTAATGTCTAGAAAAGGCGATCTGCCTGGCGCAGTGTCAGGGACTGTGCACAGGAACAGGGAAGGGTACTGGCCTTGTCTCGTGTGAATTGCTATTTTCACAAAAGCACCAAAGCAGAGAACATGGGATAAAAGGGAAAGAACTAAATAAAGAAAATGAATTGGTTCATTGTTTGAGTTGGGTTTTTGTATAACTATCTTTTTATTTGTGGGGAGTCTAGGGTATAGACAAAAAGAAACTAAAAATGACACACAACTTACTATGTACTTGCTAAGTATATATGCACACACACTATAAATACTCACTATTATACATCAATACTGCTTACTATACATACTACTTACTAGAAGTAGATAACGTACAGTTTCTATGTTATATTTCATTTAATCCCAGAATAAATCTATGAGGTAGACATTATGGTTCTACTTCTTACCGTTGAAGAAACTGAGGTTTAAAAAGTTAGGCGACTTGTCTGAGGACAAGTAGGTGGGGGAGCTGAGTTTGCTTCTGGCAGTTGCCTTCCTTCTCTAAGACTCGGAGCACCTCTCAGGAAGGGGTAGGTGCCATTCTGCCCGATGGGGGGAATTGCCTGGGTTTTTGCAACAAATTTGATCTGGAGAGACCTGGTTGGGGCGGGGATGCTAGTTGGATGATAACCAGGTGGCAGGGGTGAAGTTAAAAATCAGATCCCAGTAGATATAAGACTTTTGAATATATAAAGTGAGACAATTTAAATCAGCATAGAAATGAAGACGCTGAGCCAACGGATTAACAATGTGGAAGAAATATATATTTTTATCTGACACCACATTTGAATGTATGGTGCTAAATGTAAAGCAATAAAACCATAAAAATTATGTTGTGGATTTGTCTTATCTTGGGATGGGAAAAGAATTTTAAGCATAAATTGGCAGAAACCATAAAGCTTTCAATAGCTAATTCAATTATGCTTAAAATATGATAAGAAAAAAACAAAAATTCTGGGAGGCACAAGACACGCAGAATGGAAAAATATTTTTCACAGTATTTAAGGGAAAGGACTACTTTTTTCAAAGTACAAATAGCTCTTACTACCAATAAGACAAACAACTCTTTTATCAATAAGACCAAAATCCAAAGCAAAAATGAGCGAAAGATAGTACTGGCTCTTCACAAAGGAAGAAATACAAGTGGCTGATAAACACAAGCAGTAAAATAAAGCTAGCGCTCCTAATGTTATCAGCAGTTATAACTGTGATTCCCCAGTTTATTTTATTTTCTTGTTAATACTTTATGTATTTTCCAGTTTCTTTTACAACTAACATGCATTAGTGTCACAATCCTTCACCTCATACCAAAGTTCTAAGAAGCAAAATTACAAATGTGACACCGATCATAACTTTCTCAGTCACATCATATCGGGATTTTGTTTTATTTTTCAAGACAGTTATTATTTATGATTCCAATCATTCATCCAACACTTATTGAAAGCTAACTGTATGCCAGAAATAATGCTAGGAAACAGAAATTCGAAGATGAATAAGGGTCTCACAACAAGACATAAAAATAGGGGTTTATATAGAGGAATGCTAGATTTGCAGACTGACAAACCACCGGGAGGATCTGGGGAGAAGTCTCAGACAACACTGACCCTCATGAGGTCTAGGAGACATCCTGTGGGTTTGCTAAGCTTCCTTTTGGCAGGTGGCATTTTGAATTCTGTGTCTTAGCTCCCAGCGACATGAGCTGAGCTCTGGGACACCAAACACAATCCTGTATAGATTCCCGCCCTCCACCGGCTACGCTAGTTCATTCTGTCTAGACCAGCTGGCTTCATACTTGAGAAATTCCCCTGTTTTGGGTGATACTAACTTTTACAATGGCTGCTTTGATGTTAATGAAGATGATGGTTCAAAAAATAGTATCTTCTAATTACTGAACTTTACTATGCATCACACACACACACTAGAACCCTCCAATGTAGCTATGGTGTTATTATTTCCATTAAAAATGAGGAAACTGAGGTCAGGAAAGGCCAAGTTCTCTACCGATTTCAATGACCTCTGCTTACCTGTTGCAGAGAGTGTGCACCAGCCAAGGTCTATGGTATCAAGGAGCTTGCTATTTATTTAATAGAACTTTAATAGCAACAAAAAGTGTGGTGATGTCTTTGAGCACTCTGTGGGGCATTAAGAGCTCAGGAGAGCATCCCCTCCATGCCCCAGAAAGCTGTCCCATTTCTTAGGTGGTAGTCTACTGCACAGACCTCCCTTGATAAAGTCCTTCTGCGTTCCAGCTCTTCTCCACCAGCTGCTCACTATGATTCTGAGGAGAAAGCCAACCTACAAGGAATTGAGCGTGGTGTCTGGCACATAGTAGGCACTTCATTCTCATTAGTCCCTTACCCAATTGCCTTCTCCCAAGAGCAGATCCCTTTTTCTCTTTCTGCCCTACCCATCTCCTCTGCTCCCAATTGGGAGGTCTGTACTCACTTGTTTTCCCTCAGCAGAGAGTTCCCCATCCTCTCAGTCCTCCTGGTGCCTTCCCCCAGCCTGCCCTGTGCCCTGACGGCAGCAGCTCCTCACTCAGAGACGGGGCTGCGTTGCTCTGGCCGCCGGTGCAGAGAGAGCTGAATGCAGAAGAGTCTCCCTCTGCAGAGGGGAGGGGAGCCCAGAGGGAGGAGATTCAGAAGAGTCACATGCACCACTTCCTAAAATCTCAGAGGTTGAAAGAACCGGGTTATTGCCCTTAACCAGAAGCCATTCGTTAATGAGCAAATGGGGAAGCCCTGTCTGCATTTATAAACAGGCCCTGAGGGTTTTTAATTTCAGATGCCTTAAGCTTATTAAACCACTTTGTAGACCTAGAAACGTCAGAGAGGGGAACTTTGTTTTTAAAACAAAAAAGCTTAAAACAAAAGTCAAGCCACAGACCAGTAGAAAATATTAGCAAAACACATTGATAAAAAGACTTTTATCCAAAGTGTATAAAGAACGCTCAGAACTCACTAAGGATAAAACAAATATCCAATAATAAATGGACAAGATATTTGAACAGGTATTTCATCAAAGAAAATGTACAATTGACAAATAAATTCATGAAAAGATGCTCAACACCATAGTCATTAGGAGAATGTAAATCAAAACCGCAATGCAGTATTCTTTGCACACTTACTGGAATGGCTAATATTCCAGAATAAAAAACAAAAACTCATAATACCAAGTGCTGACAAGGGAAGCAGAGCATCTGGAAGTCTTACTGCTGGGAATGCAAAACTGTTCAGCCTCTTTGGAAAACAGTACGGCAGTTTCTTATAAAGTTAAATACAACCTGGCCACCCTACTCCTAGGCATTTACCCAAGTGAAAAAGAAAATTGAGACTTCTAAGAACCTGTATGCATATATTTATAGCTGCTTGACTCACAATTGCCATCCCCTCAAACCCTGGAAATAACCCAAGTGATCTCAAGTAGTGACTGGCTAAACAAACTATATCACAGCCACACAATAGGATCCTGCCCAGTAATTAAAAGGAGTGGACTACTAACACACACAATGGCATGGGTGAATGTCAAAGCGTTATGCTGAGTGAAAGAAGCCAGACTTAAAGCCTACTCTTTGTGACATTCAGGACAAAGCAAAACCATAGGGACCTAGAACACATCAGTGGTGGCCAAGAGGAGGGTGTGGGAGGGGTTGACTTTCAAGGGTCGGGAGGGAATTTTTTTGTTGTTCTGTATCTTGTGGTGGTGGTGACGTAGCTGTGTAAGTTTCTCATAATTCATAGATCTGTATACCAAAGAGTGTGTTTTCCTGTGCATAAATTATATCTCAATAGAAAGAGGTTAACGAAAGAAATGAACTTGGGGCAGAAATTGTGGGTTTTTAGAATTATTCTTATAGTTGATGGTTAGTTTCAGTTTGGTCACACACGTGTTCCTTCATTCCTTTAACAAGTATATGCTGAGTGCCTACTGTATGCTGGTCACCGTGAGTTCAGCAGTGAACAGAGCAGATACAGGCCTGCCTTTGTAGAGCTCCTTGAAGTGGAACAAAGCGCAAAAGACTTTATGGCTTGTCCTGGAGTAATACAGAGGTCACACTCGCGACAGGCAGGGCTGCGTGGGGAGGCAGTTTAGAAGAAGGCGTGTTAGAGAAATTGGGTACCAGTTGTGCAACACCAGACCCATCACGCAGCACCCTGGGCCCTGCAGCCACTGTCCAGACTTCAGGCTGCCTCTATGCAGGATTTCCAGGAGCACGTTATTTCAGATGGGCCAAAAGGCAGACACCCCTTGTCTAGGAGAAGGTATTCTGGAGTGAGGGGGGCCTGTGACAGGGAAAGGAGGGTAATGCCAACCTAGGAGGGCTTGGTGCTTGAATCAAAATATGTTATTACTTATAATTTATAATGTAATATTTACATTTTAGTACTGTCAGGACAAATACAAATGAATAATAAGAAGACTAATTTTGTCTGTTGAAAATAAGGACAGAGACTTTCTCCCCTCCCGTTTCTTAGAGCAGTTATTTTCCAAAACTTGTAAATTCTGTCTCTCCATCTTTAAAATACATGTAAATCTCTTAAAGAGCTAAATAAGCAATCCAAGCATGTTTCTTCCAGCACCTGGGGGGGGCCATCTTTTCGAAATGTAATCATCAGGGAAAATAGGGCCCTTATCTCCCAGGTTTCTGGGAGGAGAGGAGCCAGACTTCACCTGGCACCTGGCTCCAAATTGCAAACCTACCTCCAGACAAAAAGATAAGAGGAAAATTTGTCTTTTAAGGACAATTACTAAGCATATTGCCAAATGCATTTAGGATGAAAAATGTGTGACAAATAGTTCAGTGAAGTCCTCTTATTGGAGGATTAGACATTATCTTGAGAAAATGTATACAATGGGTTGTATCTGCTTGGCTATATAAAAGGGCACGATTTCTTTGTTTTTGTAATCTTTTTAGTGGGTCGCCTATAATTCTCATTACATTCTGGTTTAATGCTTATTCAATAATAAAAACTTTCTTTTTCTTCTACTTTGGTGGGAGATTTTCTGAGGTGGCAGATTTTGTTTTTAATTATGTTTCTCCAACCATACCTCCATTCAACTTTTCATTAATCTCTTAGGTAATTAACCCTAGGAAAGATATTAAGATAGCAGATTTTCTTATTTTCAGAATAACTAAAATTCAGGGTGAGGAAACCCACTCCTCAGTAAATTAGATGAAGCAGTGAAGTAAGAAAGAAAATCCCGAACAAAGCATCCATTAAAAATTAGAGATGCCTACTGCATACAGATCTAAGAAATCTAGGACTGCCCTGGTCTGTTCCTCCCATTCTCTGTTAAAATGACTTCTTTCCCCAGGCTGGATAATTATCATAAATTTTAAGGAATATCTTACAAGTCACCTAAAGCTTTCTATTCTGTTGTGGGGGAGGGAAAAAAAGAAACCCCAAAACTTTCTCTAGGTTCTCCTGGCTGGTCTAAGCATTAAATCAACAGGAGAAGGATTAGCAGGAAAAAAAACCCAAATTTAATTGTAAACATATGTGGGCTCCATAAGAATATGACATTCAAGGACAAGTTAGGCAATTGAGGCTTATATGCCTTCTGAGAGAAGGAGGTGGGGTAGGGTCTGAGACTCAGGAGGAAGGCAATTCACATGGAGCTGGAGATACAGATCCTTGCTGGGCCCTGCAGAGACAGTGGGATGCAGAGAGCACGCTGGTCACCGGGACCTGCTGAGGTCTCCCTGCCACACCAGCCCATGTTTTTGTAGAGGTCTCGGGTAATAGTGCTCTTCCTGGACCAGGCCTTTATCTAAATTCTTCTAGACAGTTAAGGGAGAGGCAAAAAGAAAGAGCTCTTAAGCT